TGATTTGGTAATTCCACATGCATGTTCTTTGGTGATAATAAAAACAAATCAAGATGCCCTGACTTAAATAACACCCCATCTATTTTCTGCAGTCTGTTTTTCTTTTGCATTTATTTTTAAAAACTGTTGTGCAAATCTTTCATGTTTTTCCATCTGTCTGTGTACACCCAAGCACTTCAGCAGCAGCAGAGTGACAACAGGAGATGGATGGTCCCTGGAAACATGCAGCATTTAATGAGCTTTGGTCTGTCCCACACTCAGTCACTAAAGTGGAGTTAAGCAAAACAGACTATATTTGAGCTTCAGACACGCACAATGCAGAGTGTCTGTGTGTGTGTGTCTGTGTGTTTGTGTTTTGTGTGTGCTTGCACGCACACTGGGAATGATGTAAAATGCTGAGGCAATGCTTTTGATATTTCTATTTTATGTCAGCTAAAGGCATCCCTTTTTGACAAGTTAACCTTCTACATATATTTTAATCCTAAGCCTTGGCCTGCTCCTGTGACAGTAATATGGATGGTTACATTAAAACTGCAACTGAATTAATACTTGAGCATACGCTAGGGCTACAACAATTGATCATCATAATGGTGATAAATTGACTACTGAATCAATGAATGACTATTTCAATAATTGTTAATTATTATTTTGATCATAAACCAATAATAAAACATATTGTTTCTTAGGTAAACAGGCTTTATCATAATAGCAGTATTATTCAATTCATTCTACAGAAATCAGCAATGTTTTAAATTTTCCTGTGATATTTTTTTTCCAATACGGACAGACAATGTTCCTAATCTATCTGTCAATCATGCCCATTTGAAAACAGGGATTCACTGGTGACCATACTCAAATCTTAATACTGAAGTGTGTGTTCTGGATCCCGGGCAAATTAAATGGCATTTTTAAGCTTAAAATTGTTAAATGTTACAAAAAAAAAACAACAACTCTAAAGCAAAATAGAAACATTTTTGACTGGTCGACTAATCAAGATTTGAATTGCTGACTAGACTAAAATAATCATTAGTTGTGTAAAAGTAGATACATTTGTATTGGGGTGGGCTGTGCCTCTGCCTTTCTCCTTCACTACTTATAGTTTTGATGTATTTTTATCTATTTCTCATTTTTTCCTGTTGTCGTGCCATGATAAAATGTTTGTAGCTGTGAGTGTTTGTGGCCCGGGTCGGCTCTGAGGGGCAGGTGATGAAGAGCACTGAGGGAGAGGAGCGAGCAGATGAGCTATAGCGTGTGAACGAAGCAGGAAATATATGAGTATGAATTTTTCATCAGTGTGCTGTACCATCAGACACTAAATAACAACAACAGCTCTGTGCCCTGGGCTCAGCTGTGGTTTTGTTTATAAGGAGTAGAGAGAAAACAAATATCTACTGCTAACTTATTTAAAATAATGATTTGGTCATACTTAAGATAAACCCCAGAAGGATAAAGCAGGGCAGTGCTGTCCATGATCACCATACTGTAATATACACTTGCATACCAATGGGTCCCTTCTTTTAAATGTTTTGCTTTTTTTTTTTTTTTTTTTTCTAGTCATACAATGTAAGTGAATTAACCCATTATTGTTTTATTAAGGAGAGCAACAGGATTTGAACATTTATGAATGTACTATTTTGGGTGAGGTGTGGCAAGGTTGGAGTTTAGAGTGGATTGGTTTGACAAATGGTAATTAAAAAGTTACTTTGGTCAATCAAACCTTCTGCAACCTTGTGTGCAATGGTATAAATGTTTGTTATGTCATATGAAACATAGCACTTTTTTTGTTTTCACAGGGTGTTGGTAGCTGCTTGAGAGCTGCTATAAGATTGTGCCACATACTGTTATATTGTAATAAATTATTTATAATGTACTCAATATTTCAATGAATGATCAGGAATGCATTAATGGCTTGAAGACTACTTGGTTTTGACAGATGACTCCGTACAGTTATTATTTTGGGTGGGTGTAATGATGATCTGATTTTGTGCTCAGGTTTTGGAGGTGGTCCGTTCAAACTACGACACTCTAACACTGAAGCTCCAGGATGGATTGGACCAGTTTGAGCGATACTCGGAGCAGCCCAAAGAAGCGGCTTTCTTTAAGGAGCTGGTAAGGGCCTGGATGGTAGTTAATATTTTTCAGCATAGTCTGTCTACATCTGCAAAGCTCAAAATGCTTTGTTCCTCCTTGTGGATTCTAGTGAAGGTGTATGTATTACCACAGGACTTTAAAAGTTGGAACAGAGTGTTTTTTACGTTTGAGAGAAGAAATCAGCCTAATATGCAGGGTTTGCGTGTTACATGTGTGAATGAAACAAAACACAACATGAGAAAACATCATCATAACTTGGATCAAAAGATAGCTTAACACAGGTCCTTTAACATTCCTGATACAGTTCTTAACTTGTCTTTCTTTTCTGTTGTAGGTGCGCTCGATCAGTCTCAACGTAAGGAAGAACGTGTCTCTGAACACTTTGAGTCAGGACGTCCTGTTGAAAGAGTTCTCCACCATCTCCTGAAACTCACCGGCTCTCTACTCCCCCTAATGGACAAACTGAATACTACATGTGTATACAGACACAAACTCTCTTCCTCCTCCTGTGATCTCTGCCGCACAAATCAGGCCTGGATGCACCTTAATGTAAAGAAGTGCACTGACTGTGTGCAATCTGCAGTATTGGCTGGACTGTTAGTTACACAACATCCGTTTGCAGTGTTTTAACAATGTTTGACATGTTCTCCATTATTTTCCTGTGAATTTCTCTAAGTTTCATTTATCTTTACACTGGTTATGAGGACCCTGAGCCTTTTTGACTTTAAACATTAAGAGTATTGGCCTTGCTTTGGAGCGAATGTAAAACAATCTCAAAATAATAGTATTTTATTTTCATTTTGCTCTGAAGGAGGACATTTTGAACTGTCAATCCACTACCAACTAATCACTGCTGTACATCATAAATCATTTTATGTAATTGCAGTTAATGAATGTGAACTGAAAGAAATTAAACATGGTTGTAATATTTTTCATTTAAATTTTAAATTCTCTTAACTTCAGCTTTTGCCTTTCATATTTCAAATAATTTTTCTTTTATTTTCTTACAGGAACCAAACAAAATTATGCAAAATTTGTCAAGTATAATTAATGTCTTATTCCTTCCATAGCTAATTCTTCTTGTATATTTATGTATTTTTAAATAAAGGTTGGTCTTTGTTTCCTCCTAAACTGTTTCACTAAATAATGCCTCTTTTTAATGTAAAAATTAATGCCTCTTCAACTGTAGGGGTAGTAGGCTTGTTTTGTGTCCTGGAATTGTCTTATTTCCTACTCCAGGCAAACCTTGTTTAACTTAAAATGGATCAAGTTTTAAATTCTCAAAATCAATTAATGAGGGTAATGACATCATCTTGATTGTAATTTCAAATGGTGTTTTTATTTGTAAGCTTGTATATTTTCTGAGAAGTTAGTTGTGTTTATAGATACTTGGATTGAAATCTTACACTAAGGTTTTCAAATATGGTTTACTTTGCTAGACCAAATGACTTTTTGCAACTCTGTAAAGAAGAAAGATTACTGAACTCTAGACTTGTACGTTTATTTGTAGAGTAGAATTTGAGCACATAATTCTTTATAGAGGGCTTTAAGAACAAGAAGGGCACTTTAAAATCAAGTATAAGTACAAGCGCTCTGCCAGTGAAACTCGAGCCCAACAAACACACTCACATCTCTCAGTATCACTCCTCATGTCTCCTCTGATACTAAAAGTGGACATCCATCTCCACTTGTTATTGTCTTTCTGTGTCAGTCTCTTTTCAACCTACATCAGCCAAGACCAATTCTATATGCTCCTCTGCTTTCGACAGTCACCATGATGCTGTTATACTATAGTACTGCTTACACTGCTTATGAAAGTTAATATGAAATACATCTATTTTAATCATCAAAACAGTAAATATGGGTGAATAAGTGTAATGCATAAGCAAGTTTTCTTCCACTAAACAAGCAACAACATTTAAATAAGCAACTAAATTTAAGTGCTGTCAAAAAAAGAGAGCTCAAAGATTCTAAAAAAATACTCTTGTCGATATATTGGTACAGCAGCCCTTGATAATGATACTGTATTACCAAATTTAGTATCATGAAATATCCATATTTCAATAGTTTTGCACACACCTGACACAGGCCTCTCCAGACTTTTATGCCCATGTCCCGTCTAAACATTTTATATCTGGTCCCTCTGTGGGTTCCTCATTCAATCATTTTACAGTTGTAAAAATAACCCATCTGACATAACTTCTTCTCTGTCAAATAACTTCATAGATTTCTTTTAATCCATTCATTGTTGCTAATCACTCTGATGTTCTGGTAGGTTCCATTGCAAAAGTTATGAAAAATGTTATTTTCTTTTGTAATCAGTCTAACAATTTACAAACACCAACCTGTTTTTCACACATTTGTATAGTACTAAAAATAAAGCAAAGATACATAGAGACAATTCAGAGGTGAGATAGACCTACATGGAGGACAATTACTCACAAAATTCAAAAATAAAAGCATTGGTTTGGTTGTGTTTACTGATCAGAGAGAGAGAGAGAAAAAAATGCGTCTCCACAACCCTGGTTCTTATTTTGTCCTGAAGGAGAGGGAGGTTATATTGAAAGTCATCAATATGTTGTATGGAGTTTTTTTTCTGTATATGTAACCTACTTGACATCCTCTGTGTAATTAGTTTATTTCCATAATCATACTTTTCCTGTATAAGGATTCAGTTCAAGGACACCTCTGATGTTGTATTGATTTGTACACCGCTCCTGTCCAGTCAGCTACGGACACCGCTCCAAGGTGAGACATCACTCAACAAATCCCCCCCCCCCATCTCTCTCTCTCTCTCTCTCTCTCTCTCTCTCTCTCTCTCACTCTCTCTCTCTTTCTGTCCAAAACCAACTCTTCCAAGCATTGCCATCACTGAAAATTGCTCGTACAGATGAGAGGATGCACTGAGATCCACGCGGACAGGGAAGGGAACGCAAAGACGCAAGGGGCAATAAGCCGTGCGTAAAACCACTGGAGTGACCCTAATATGAACAGTGAGAAGTTTTGAGACGAGGGGTGGACGACTCTGAAGCGGAGACATGAAATCCAGGAGTCAGGAGCAGAGTTTGTCTGACTCACGGGAGCTGGACAGATCCCACGACCCGCTCACAGGTGAGACAAGAGTACCTTTTTCAACTTTGAGTAGGAATGCGTAATTAGCCTGTTTGAAATGGCTACAAATTTCAGTAAAGTATCGCTAATATTGATACGTTGATTTGTTTGTGACAGTAAAACCCCTTTCAAATGAATACAGAGAACTGATTTTGAATTATTGATTGAATGGGAGGGTAGCTAAATTTTAAATCACTCTACGCCTGTTTATTCAATATGACAAGAAATCGATGTAATGAGATATTTCGTGTGAATTTAAAGTAAATGCATTTTGTAGCCTAACTGAAATCGTATGAATATTTTAGTGTTTTGGTACAATTTAAATAATATCACAAATAATTAGGTTATGGAGTTTGAGAACTGTTAGTTTTGTGCAGGAGAGCTCATTTGATCTCTGCAGGCTACTTCCTGGTCTGTCATCCTCACTCAAGACTCATTTTCCTCACTCACAAACATTATACTTCCATTAATAACCACACTATAGTAATCTTATTGTAACCTGATTTGTTGGGCTAAATTGCATACAGCCTTGTGAAAGGCAACACATCAAACATATGAACTTATTCAGTGGCCATCATAACTGTTAAGAGACTCTTCCTCCACCATAGAAAAATATGAGCTGCTTGTCAGATCTAAAATTAATCTGACACTTTTGTCTCCTTATAGATCAATGAATTCAAACCACAGTCGTCTGTATCCCCTCCAAGTCTTTATTCTGTCACTGTTTAGTCAAATCTTTTCAACTCTAAAAATAACTATGAGAGGTAAAATATATTTCAAAAATCTGAATGTGCAAACATCTGAGCACATATGCTGTCCAGAATATGTGAGTGTATCAGTGCATAATGTGCCCGTGTGTTTGTGTGTGTGTGTGTGTGTGTGTGTTTGTGTGCCTGAGCATTTACATGACATGTGTAAGTGTATTGTGGCATGCATGCACGTGCAGATGAAATCACTCTGTTGGCCAAGATTATTTAATATAGATGGGTGCAACCATAATGACTATTCTTAAAATGCAGATTTGTGTTGTAATACAGTGAGTGCTTTGGTCTAGTCACTAATAGAAATTATAAAGTGCAGGAGAGAATCTGATATCATCACACTCTATACTCTATACTCTATATATATGGTATATATTTGTAAAATGTGTACATGTAATGTAATGAGATTTTTCTTCTGCATAACCTCTACAAAAACAACTATGAGAAATCATAAAAGCTTCCTTTAAGACGAAATACACATTATGCTCATATAGGGTTAGTACTAGAGAAGAGGTTTCAAATTTGAGCTTTATTGGGTGTAGGGACTATTTTTGGCATTTGGATTGCAATTTGATATTCATAAACTATCATCTAACCAATTAAACAACAAGAAAGAAGAATAAAAACACTTAGAACAGACAACAATTTCATACAAAAAATCCAGAAAATATATGAATTTATCAAATCGCTTACAGTTAATTACAATGTGTAAACATTGGTATACAAGTAAAACCATGAATCTAAATGCATTGAGTCAAATTCTTCTGTTAACAGCTTTGCTCATACATTATAGATACTCATAGATCTTTGCCAAGTCATCACTTTGTTGAGCACACCTCACATGTCACTGGGATCCTCTCCACTGCTGCTGTGGAGCTCCTGTGAGGAGGAGCAGAAGGGGCGGAGGAGGAATGCTCATATTTTGGTTATTATAAGTTGTTAAGTTATTTTTGAGAATCAGTTATTTGGGTACTTTGCTAATTTTTCTCACACCATGACAGGTAAGTGGTGCAACTTGATGTCACAATAGACTAACAAATATATTATAGTCTTTGTCAACTTAGTTTTGACATCTTTTTTGTTTTCAATGGATCACTATGTAACTTTTCTAGTGAAGGGTACACCACTTGCTTGTCTCCATTAAGTTGTTATTGCTTTGTCTGCAGTGTTCCACAGTACGGCAATTCATCTTGCATTTATTCGATTATGGGGTGTTTTCAAAGCTTATAAATAACCTGACAAACATGCGTTCTTACCTACTGAAAATGGGCTTGCCTATTCACAGATCTGACCTATAACTTGGCGTTGTTGCATGATTTGCTTGTCTTCGTGGAGCTATGTACATTTAATGCCATAGTGTTGAACCATTAACATCTCCATAGAGAAAATCAAGTGATGGACCCTCCAGCTAAAAAGTTGCATAGCACCTTTAAAAAGAATAGATGTCTTGACTAGGAAGGTTGGTTACTATTTCTTTGTTTGTGATATTTGTTAAGATTGGTATGAGGGTTGTAAAGAGTAAGGGCATAGAATAGTGGCCACATATTTTGTCTCTTCGCCTTAGGCCAGGTGTGGGCAGAGAATTACTACTTGTGTGAGACTATTGTAGAGAATGAATTGAGAAACAATGTGGGGCCCCTGAACAGCCTAGCACATCATTGGTTTTGGTGATAAATGGTTGCTCATGCATTTTAGATTAGCTTTTATAATTTAGAGCTAAAAATTCTATGGGGTCTGTATGAACTTTAAAGGGCCCATATTACACCATTTTCTGATCTATGTTTGAGTTGTGTTTGGTTTTATTCACACATGTTTAACACACTAACCCTGCATATTTAGGCTCTCTGTTCCACCTTGTCATGTCATGTGGTAATACAGGAAGTGCTCCACTGTGTTTTTAAACTCATAAATACATCATTTGGATAATTTCAGCCCTTGAATTGACAATCTCTGCTAAACAAATGGTAAAATTAAACTGTTAACTTGGAAACTACTCATGACATCACAAGGTAGAACAGAGCATTTTCCGCTTTAGAAATGTAGACAGACTAATAATAAAAGATTACTTATATGCGTGAATGAAACAAAACACAATGATAGTTGTTTTTGTTTTTTTTGGAGGAGATAACAGAATTCTAACATGGGTGAAAGTGAGAATCAAATTTGTGTAATACAGGATCTTCAATGAAAAGTGCATTTCCTGAAAGAAGAATGCTATACCACATGCTAAACAGAAACAATATCTTGCATTTGAAGATCTGCTCTGGACAATTGCTTACTGTACTGTTATGTCAAGGTCTGAAATTGAGTGTTCAGAGGCATTTCAGGAGACAGCAAATTGATCTCTTTTGTTCCCAAGCCCATTCAAAATCCATTGTTGTTCTTCCCAGTAAATCTTTGTGGGAACATGATAAAATCCACAGATAATCCCAAACAGATTGTGCAGAGGTAGGATTGTGTAGATTTGAATATGTTTTTCTGATGTACATCATTTGTGCATTTATAATCTGAATGCTGTTTTTCTGAAGGATTACTCTTAAGTACAACGACAACATTATCTACAATCAATGGGTCAGAGCTGCATGACCTGCTCAAAGCCTGAAGTAAACAGGACATTCGCACACAGACACATACTAAGAGTGTGTTGTTAGTGGGCTCATTGACATTGTATGGTGACTAATCTAAACTATATTTATTGCAGTTGCACTGGTGAAGGGTCTAGTTGCTGGAGTGAACCTAAATGTGAATATATAACTGAAACACAGTGGACAGTGTCTCGTCCTGTCATTTTTTCCATTCTTTGGGATTGTCCATGATTTTGAATACACTTTGAATGTGGACAGCGATTTCATGTATAAATATATTACATAACTGAACACAAATCACAAAAATATGACTCTTTTGTTTACTATTAAGAAGTACAAAACATGACTTTACACTTGACAGAAGACATGCATATGAACACTTTTTTTTTTTTTTTTTTACAGTAATGATTATCAGATAGCACCTTTTCATGTGTTGGCCCTGTTACTACTGCCTGACATTTTGGAGACCTTCCACTACACTGTCAAATAATTGCATATATTGTCAATCATGATTATGAAGCAGGAAAATTTTGATGTAGTATGACATTGTGGTTTGACCTGTTAATCTCTGACATGCGCAATAGATGAATGAAAAGCTGATTCAGAAATGTTTTTCTGTTAGTATTTACATTAATGAAAAGAGATTGGAAATTTGGCCATTAATAAAATCAGTGTATTAATCTACTTTTGAGGACTGTCTGCCCTTGTATGTGCACATTGATTCTCACAGTGAATCAAAGTCTCATTAGAGATAGAGGGAGTACACATAACTTACAAGGTTATTTATTCATCAGATCAGTAATGCCTGGTTTATTTTAGTTTAGTCCAATCTTTTGGATCTCACGCCACTTTAACCTGCCACTGTGCTCTCGCTGCTTGGGTCTGTTGTTTTGGTGAAGGCTGGGCAGATTGCTGTTTGTTTTTCCATAGACATGCATGCAGCTGCTGTATGAGTGGATTGATTGACACCTCCTAAATATGTATTGTATATCACTGATCTCAACAAATTATAACCCAGAAAAGGACAAAGATCAGTACACACTGTCTTTTTCTACTGGACATTTATTTGCATGTATTTTGACTTGAGTGTGTGTGAGTCTGGTGTGTGCTGATAGTTTACTGTTTGCTAGTCTCTTGTGTGCTACACGTGCAATACATGTGAAGCATATTATTCAAGCAAAGTTGAGTTTAGGTCTAGAAATGTTATCTGACTGGCTCTGCTTGATGAGTTTGTTAGTAGCTCAACAGTTCTCTCTAGTGGGTAAAAGTGTGCATAGCATACAAGCTGGGACATACACAGTAAAGGCTAACCTTAAAGGACCCGTGTTACGCTATTTTCTGATCTGTTATAATGTTGTTTCCTCTTCACAAACATACCTTGAGTTGTGTTTGTTGTAGAGTAGTAGAGAAAATGGGAGTTTAGTTTAGTTCCTCTTCTCTCAAACAGAAAACGCTCTGTTCCACCTTATGATGTCATGTGGCAATACAGGAAGTGCTCCACCATGTTTTTAAACTCCATACACCTTCACTAAAATCATTTGGATAATTTCAACCCTGGAATTGCCAATCGCTACTGAACAAATGATAAAAGGTAGCTTGAACTCCTTGAAAACTACCGCTTCATGACATCACAAGGTGGAACAGAGCATTTTGAGCTTTGGAGATGTAGACAGATGAACAATGCAGGATTACTGTGTATAACACGTGTGAATGAAACAAAACATAAAACTCACAAGCATCAGTTCTGAACAATATGGGCCCTTTAAAGTATTTTCTTGGTTTTTCTTTCTTTCTTGGTCTTGTTTCAGTCCCTTATTTTTACATTTCAAGTTTGGCTTCATGAAAGTGTAGCTCTTCATGGCCTAAGTACTTCTTTAGCTCTATTGTAGCCTTTAGCTTTAGCTCTCAGTGATTCAAAACATTGCTTTTGCCGAGTCCTGTGAAAATGAATACATGTTTAAAGATGAGACAGTGAACAGGAAGTTGAAAGGTGGATGTCACTGACAACATGTTAAAAAGTACACAGATAAAATGAATACTTCACCAGAGGGCACCTATGCTTTTAGAAGGGTCGAGGTTTGTGTTTCAGTCATAAAGTCTATCGTCTCAATGCTAATTTTAAAGCATAATAAGTATTAAAACAACACCACAAACCTAAGTATCCTACATTTTAAAACAATCAGGTAGTCTTTACTTGAATCAATTTGAATTTTAATCGGTTGTTGATTTAATATTTTATGACATTAATAAAAGTGATTGTTAGCTTTGAGAGGCAGTAGGGTAGCTACTGGTCACAGAGCCTATAGAAAATGTTTCTGATGTGTGTGTGGTGTGTTTTCAGGTAATCCAGGCCTCAAACCCAACAAGAAAACATTGAAACAACGCTTTCTCAAACTGCTGCCATGCTATCATCCAAGCACCAGACCTTCACTCACACAAAGCAAGTGACCCCTGCATTGACTAACAAACAAATAAGTATTTCTTCTGTGTGCACAGTTTAAACTTTAATGTCCTCTGTAGGAAGTGTGGCCGACGAAGGGGAACTGTCCACAGTGTGTTACAGACCAGAAGGGCTCGACAGACTTGTTCAACAGACAAACTTCAGCAAAAAAGAGCTGCAGATTCTCTACAGAGGCTTCAAAAATGTAATGTTATTTGATATATGAATCATGTTATTACCTCCACCAAGGAGGTTATGTTTTTGCCAGCGTTTGTTTGTTTGTTTGTTTGTTTGTCTGTTAGCAACATAACTCAAAAAATTATGGACCGATTTTGATGAAATTTTCAGGATTTGTTGGAAATGTGAAAAGGAAGAACTGATTTCATTTTGGGGGTGATCCGGAAGAAATCCTTGATTCTGGATCACTTTGAAATTTTAGTTAACATTGTGGTAAATGGGGCCAAAAATTTGGTTTCTCAATAACTCGGTTTATTATTGACCAAACCCCATGAAATTTGACTCAGGGATGGACAATGGGATCCTCTTTCATATTCCAAAAGCTGATCTGGATCTGATCCAGAATACTGATTTTATCGCAATTTATATAAAAAATGGGGGTAGTCCTTGGCGGAGGTCTGCGCTCTCTGAGTGCTTTTCTAGTTATATGTTGATTTCAGCACTTGTGATAACCGGGGTCTGTCTGGTTTCTTCAGGAGTGTCCCAGTGGAGTGGTAAATGAGGAGACGTTTAAGAGTATTTACTCTCAGTTCTTCCCACAGGGAGGTCAGTCTCTGCTGTTATGGACAAAGCACTGGACTCTGACTTAACATAACTACTCAACTCAAATGCAACTCAAATGTAACTTTTCTGGTTACACAGCTTGTCTCCATGGTTATGTTAATGCTTTGCCTGGGATGTTCCACAATATGGCATTAAACAAATATGTCTGTTTATTTATTTATTTATTTATTTGAATTACAGATGTTTTTATGTCTCAAAACTACCACAAAAAACATGCATTATTACTGTGAGCGGGCGTACTTCTCCACAGAGCTGACCTGTAACTTGGCCTAGTGATGTGGCTGCTTGTCTCCATGGAGATAGAAAAAAAAAAGTTAAATTAAAGGAAAAGACAATAACATCTACATATGGTAAAGCAGGTGGTGGACCCTTTACCAGAAAAGTTGCATAGTGCACGTTTAAGACACTTCACTGGCTTTAATGACTTGAACTTGAGCTGCTGAATAGGACTTATCACCTTTTCATGGACCAGGATTAAATTCTCAATAAGCATTAGTGACGTCATGTACTTTACTTTACTATTAGCCTATGTTTCACAGTTATTATATCATGTATTTGTGCATATGTCTGTGGAAATTGAAAATGACACATTTAACATAAAATACTTTAATTTTATCTTGAATAAATATACACAAATGAAACTGTAGTTTTTTTTGTATAAACATACAGCATTTGTGTTTTGTTGTCCAGACTCTAGCACGTATGCGCACTTCCTGTTTGATGCCTTTGACACTCAGAACAATGGAACCGTCAGCTTTGAGGTGAGAAGAGATTGTTTAATCACTTTAGACTATAAAATTTTTAAGTATTCCTGTCACGATACTTACCATATTGAGTTATCATTCAATATATGACAGATGGGACAATCATTTTCAGTATTTATAGTGCCTTTTGTTCGTTCACTAGTGGTGAACTTTTTGTGATTTTTTTGGTTCCACGATGGTTAGATTAGATTAGCTTGTTTAGGTTTGAGCTGTAAAAGAGTTAATTTTATAATATAATAATTAATTATATTATAATAATTAATACTTGTACGACTATGACTTTAACCATATTGTACAATAGAATAGTTTTAGGGGATAATTTGAATTTAGGCTTACTGTGTCAATGCCATAAAATTGTATTATCCATTTATCTTCTATTTTTTCTTCAGCCATACATTGTACTTCAAAATGTGTTATTGTGACAAGCCTATTTTGAAATAGCATTGAACTTATATTATTCATCTTATTTATTCTCAGTGACATTTTATGTTTTCTTGTCTGCCTTGAAAGTCATACACAGTCAGTGTGACCTGTGTTTCCTGTAGGACTTTGTCGTCAGTCTATCCATTATCTTAAGAGGCTCCACTGCAGACAAACTGGGCTGGGCCTTTAATCTGTACGACATCAACAAGGACGGCTGTATCACCAGAGAGGCATGTGTATACACGTGTGTATATGTGTGTATATAAATATACACAAAATGTATGGAGAAAGTGACTATAGAATGGCCAATTAACAATTTTAAAACTATCAGAATAGAAAAGAAAACTTCCAGCTTTGCTCTTCACATGCACTTTTATTGCTTTTTTTACTGTGACTTTCTTTAGTGCACAGAGCTTACCTATTACTGAACCAGAAGTTAATAAATATAAGTTATTAATAAAAAACTCCTCTTTAAAGTACACATTTGTGAAATGTTTTTTGTCCTTAGGAGATGACAGACATCATGAACTCGATCTACGACATGATGGGAAAATACACATACCCCTGTATCAAGGACAGCGACGCCAAAGAGCACGTGGACAACTTCTTTCAGGTGATTCAATTTAGCTGCACTTTATTCAAGTATTCAGTGTTATCACTGACTACAACAGTAAAGGAGCAGCTATGGCTGGGTCTCAGGTGACATCTTAAGTGAAAAAACTATAGATGTTTATGGATGGTTCTTATAAATTAAAACTGATTTGATAAATTGCTTCTTATGTGGTATTGTATTTAACTGTATCTACAAACCAATCACAAAGAGAAATGACCAAGGCTCAGATTTGATTAAAATGGTTCAAACTGAGAGTGAGAGTGTGTTTACCCTTTGAAATTCTAAATAAAATGTTGCACTACACAATAATAATTATTTTAAAAAATGACTGCTGCCAAAGTTCTCAGTCATGTTGCTGGCTCTGCTGCTGTGCTGATTTTTGTGTTGGTTCAGCATTACTCTGTGTAAAAATGCATACAAATTGGATAGAAAAGATGAGATCCAGATCCAACCAATCTCTGTGAAGGAACTATTCAAAAGTACATCAGTGTATTTCTCATGTATATATCATGTAACTTTATGGGTGGCGGATCTGCTATTGCTTTGCTTGAAATATTCCAAACTTATCTCTCTATAGAGACAGGTCTGTGGGGAGGTGACCCCGCTCACAGTAAGAATGCATGTTTTCATATGTATTTTAGAGCAATTACAACACTTGTGATTGTAATAGATAAGCAAGATTAATGTTATACTGTGCAAATTAATAGCAGGTGGTGGACTCCCATCTATAAAGTTACATAGTGTACATTTAAATAAGCAGACCACTCACCATCAATTGTTTTGCAGAAAATGGACAAGAACAAAGATGGAGTAGTAACCATTGATGAGTTTTTGGAAACATGCCAAAAGGTCTCCAGAAATACTGACAATAGTTCAACTGGTATTTACATATCCCTAAGTTTAACCTTTTTCTTTCCCTTTTAGGACGAGAACATAATGCAGTCGATGATGATGTTTGACAATGTGATCTAAGGTCTGGTGAAAAGGAGGATTTACCAGACCAACTGTAGATGGCGCTTGTGGGTTACATCTGAATGTGGGGCCTAAAAAGTTCAATATGGTAGATGTAGCAGTGTACTTCACAGTCAGAGCCATTTCATTTTATTTTTTCCTGAAATAAGCAGTTTGGAGCCATTTTTCCACTGTAGTGCATGTAGTTTATCATTCAAATAACAGCCTATAATAATAATCTTTTCAGTGCGTTAGTTTATTCTGCGGTTTTGTTTTTGCATGATGTGAATGGAGCTCAAACTGCTAATATTTTGTATATAAGATGATATTATAGAATAAAATATGTAATTAAAATGCAAGAAAGAGCCAAAATCAAAATCATTGCACAAAGACCACATGTTTAGTATAACCTTTATTTTATTAACCAAATTTCAGTAAAAACTCTTATTAGGTAGAAAGACAATTTTCCCAGTCAGTAGTGCTTGTAGGGCCAACCCAGGCTTTCCCACATAATCACCTTTTACAAAAGTGGTCATTGCCACAATGTATACATGATTTCAATTAAATTTGATGTATAACAGCTTAAAAATGCCATAAATCTTTGAAAAGTGATCACAGTAGAGACTGGTTTGGCCCTTTTTAATATATATTTTTGTATGAGTATTTCTACTGATCTGTACCAAACTAGTGTCAAAACTACATGATAGACAACAGTGTGTTACAAAAGCATTGGGAAGAAAAACAAACTGTGTACAATTATGAGCCCCCTCCGGCAGTGTCTTGTTCACTAACTCTCGTTTCATATAAAAAAGAAGGAAGCTATAGGATTATTATAGTCACAAAATAAAATTTCTTTGGCATAGAATACCCACCCAAAAGCTTTGTCACACATACATACACATGCACTCTTAAAAGGCTCTCAACCTACAAGCATTACTGTCATTAAAATCAGCAAAGTGCGGCTATAAAACACAGATTAGCCCTGTAAGATTCCCATACTCGGAGAGAATTGCATATATTACACTAAGCAGAGCGCAGAGGACAGCTCTACAGATGGATAAATCCTCTTTTTTTGTCCCAGTTCGTCAACTTGTTGGACGTCCACTCTTCCAGATCTGTAAACATAACACAAAAATAAATTTGCTAACTGTAAAATAAAAAAATGCAATAGAATTTTATCTTTTATCAATACAGAAAGCTGATTGTAAACCATTAGTGTAGTCACGATAATAAAATATTAATGTCCATCTTGATACCAAGGAAAAGACTGTCTCTGCCACAATGACAATAAAAACAATTTTTAAGACACATGTTCAGCACAAAATATAAGTTTTAATATTAGTATCATGTGGATAGTAATTCCAGACCATAAACTTTTTAGAAAAGGTCCATTATGTGATTTTTCTAAATTGAGTATCAATACTTTAAATGAGTTTTGATATCCACTGATTAACAGCCTTCAATCATATTATACCTTTAAAAATCATGGAACCCTTGTCTGTCGTATTGCATATTGCCGACATATTCCTCATGCATCATGTTGCCCTCCATACTGTCCATGGGAATGTCACCTGGGTAACCTCCGTATCCTTGGAAACCACCTACATCCAGCTCTGTAATGCAAAAACACACATTTCTTAATTAGCCAAATCATTATTTTTTGGGATGCATTTGTGCTGTACAACATCATAAAACAACACTGGAATAGGGCCTCAAAAATCAGAGAAGTTATGAAGTAATGGGCCAAATCAAGACCAGAGTCATCAGAAATAAATCAGTAAAACAGCCTGAAGATATACTTAATTATAAAATGTAATTACACACTCTGCATACAGGATTTAAAAATTACACAGAGGCTATCAAATATCTTGATGAAGTAAGCTGTGGATTCCTGTGGCCTAAGGGGGTCTTTACTCAAAAGTAAAGACAAAATACCAAAGCCATAAAAGGAGAAAAGTCAAGTGGTGGAAAAGAGGGGTATTAAGAGAGATGATCCACAGATAAGGAAAACCCAAAAGGGAGCAGAGTTTGGACGTAATCTCATCTTGAACACCTTAACTTATTTCAACTGAGTAAAAGAAAAATGACATTAAATTATTACTAAACTATAATGCTATTTACCATTGTAAAACTTAACACAGTTGAATGTGAATTAAGAGATTTTTGAGTTAAAGTATTTGAACTTAACTGGATATGACTAATGCCTTGGCAGGGTTCATTATGCTCTAGTATTGATTATATTGTGCAGCCGCAACCAAGCTATTTATACTTTAGAACATTTCTGTTGGAAAGCTTAATTATGAGCTAATTATCAATATCAAGTGAAAAATATCTTAAATGAAAACCTGGCAGTTAGGCTACTAGATTACTGTACTTTTCTTCTCATTTTTTCTATCACACATTGTCACTTAACTAAAGTAAATCTATGATAGATATTTACCACCAGGTATTATCCCACCAAACCAAGTAATTAGAAAATCATGAAAACCTGTCATCATGCACTTTAACACCTGTACTGGAGATGTCAAGATGACTGGCGCAGACGACAGTATGTTACCATCCATCCCTCCCTCCCTTAATCCTTCCCTCAATCACTCCCTCACTTCCCTCCCTCCCTCCCTCCCTCTCTCCATCCCTCTGTGTTGGAGGAGAGTGACTGAGAGGGGAGGAATTCGCTGAGGTGCACATTTTATCAGGAGCTACTCACCGTCTGGATACGGGCCATCCATGGGAACAGAATTATGAGCCTGCGGAAGTCAGAGGGGACAGTCAGGCCAAGTCAACACATAGTAATTAGAAGGATGTAACAGTACTGGCCAACTTTAGTGTTCTGGTATAGTTCATTTTTAGAATGGACAATTTTATACATTTTAACTTAAAATTTTTATTAAAATGACTTGTTTTTGATTGCATGTCAACATTTACAACCAATACTTTTTAAAGATGCAATTTTAAAATTTTTAAATCAGTGCTAATTGAATGGTGAACTACTGGACAGATAAAGATGCTTTGAGTATTGAGTGAATTTCTCTATCGTGAAATTCATCTTCATTCATCTAATTTTTTACATTATTACAAGAAATTGCGAGGTTGACACACTATAACACATTAATTCCCATATAATGTATGGTTTCATATGCATTTAGTTTAAAAGTCTTTATTTTTGCCATTAATAGTCAACACTCACCATTTCCCAGGCAGCAGGGTCGTGTTTGAACAGTGAGTGTGTGAGCTCCACAGACACGCGCTTCTTGTAGTCGGAGTTTTTGTCTTCAGAGATGCGGAAAAGCACGGCTGCAGCGTAAGTAGCTGAAAGGAGAAACAGATATACAAAAATATAAATAATATAAATGTACAAAAAAAATAATGTTGGATTAAACATGGATGATAAATGGAACAGTGACACTGCAGTCTGGAGAATAGTGAGTTTATAAGCATAATTATCATAATGAATTGTAGTCTCTGTTATGTGCTTTTGCTCAAACTTTTGGAGGTCAAGATGTCAAGAAATACAGGATATGAGTGTAATAAGTTGTGAACAAAAAGCAATGTTAAAATGTCATACTACTGTAGTTGGCGTGTATGCGCAGTATTTTGACGTAACAGTGTGATAAAGGTATTTACCAGTAATGACTTAGCAGCTAAAGGGGTTCGTTTCACTGCATTTTATATTATTTTGAAATAGATTTGGCATATATATCTCTATGTTTTGCCAGTTTGTGACAAAGATGGTGGACTTTGCCAATTTCGTTTGAAATATGACTTAGTACAACATGAGTCACAGCTGTATTAGTCATATTAGCTGTATTAGCTGTATAAGTTGTGTAAGGTCGTACCAATGCCCTCGTTGTTGGAGTGCAGCAGCTCCATGAGAGGAGCAGAGGCTCCCTCACTGTCGATGATCTCTGCAGACGTTTTGTCCAGAGCCAGTTCACACAAAACACCAGCCGCCACCCTCTTCACATTATCCACTGGAGAGTACAGCAGCTGCAGAGAGGTGGTTAAGTAGTTAACACAAGGTTTGAAGAAATAAAAACTGTTGTGATCATGATTAGATATTTTGTCTACATCAGTAGTTGTGTCCAAGAGCATTGCCATTGACAGAAAATAAATATAAACATAAAACATAAATTGCTAAACTTAAAATTTTCTTCTGATAAGAAAAACATTGTAAATAATATATCAGGTAAATAAGCTGTTTATCTAATTACAATGTTTGTTTTGTTAGAAGAAAACACAAAGTTCAGTTATAAAAAAGATAAAATACATTTTCTAACTTAAATTGCTAAAATAACACAATTTCATGCATGTCTGTAGAATACTCACTGGACTATTTAGTTAGTTCAAAAAAATTATTAGCATTTGAATGAAATTTTCTACACCAAATGAAGCCATGTCTCCAGTTGTTAGTGAGGACAACAAATCTTATTTTCTCACAGTTAGAAAACTGACTTAGAAGTCTGCTAAAACACATTTCCTGGAGTACATTATGAATTACCTCCACTCATTTTTCTAGTTTATATTTACCTGGACAAACAGGGGAATGGCCTGGAGGTTAGCGATCTCTGCTCTGTTCACTGGGTCTCTGGCGAGTATGTGCAGAGCTCCAGTGCAGCCCTCAACAATCTCCTCCATTCTCACTCCATCCTGCAACAAACAGGGCAAATCTAATTCATTATTCAGCAAAATCAATTATCTTAACAAGTCCCTGAACACCAGCCTGTCTACGGCCTTTGGGGTCCTGTGTTTGTGTCCTTGTACCTGGTATGTTTGTGCGCTGGAGGAGTCGTGTTTCTGGGCATCCTGGTGGGCTTTGAGCAGGAGGTTGACCAGACGTGGGACAGCACCTGCGTCTCTCAGAGGGGCCTGGTTCTCCGGGCACAAGGCCAGGTTACGGATCAGGCCAACTGCTGCCTACAGAAAAAACACACAGATTTACATATACACACATCAAAGCATCTTCATATGTTAACCATCTGTCCAATATTTTCCAATTCATTTAGTTTAGATTTTTTTAAATGGTAAAATGGTATTCTTTCATACCTAGTTAAATAAAATGAATAATGAAAAAGCACTTTTAATAAAAAAAAAAAGTATACAATTTCAGAACCCCAACCACAAAATATACCACGGAAACTAGTATTTTAATAAGGAAAGGCATCAAACCAAAACCAAATTATAATCCTAATTCCAGTTAATTAGAGGAGGAAAAGGAAAATATGATTACTTAATCATACATATCTTAA